ATCAACCCCTCCCCGGTCGGCAGCGACCGGAGCCCCGGGGAGATCCCCATCGGTAGGCGGTGGAAGAACCTCCGGAAAGTCCCGTCATCTCCAGGATCCGGAGCGATTTTATCGGGGCTCCGTGGGGCCAAGGCCTTATTAAGCGCCGCCGTCGTTGATGAAGTAATCCGGCAACTCGCTAGAGATGGATTGGTTATTCTGTAAATACTGAATAGACGCTGAGCCAGGGTTTTCTTTAACGCCATTGATAAATAACGGTTATAATAATACAGTAAGGTAAGGATCTTATTGCGCGAAAGTGCGGAGAGGACTGCTATGGTTTGCTTCAACAATGGAGAACACCGAGTTGGCTCGAAATTCCTATTTATAGGTCGCTCTGGTGGGGACGACGGATCCACTCAAGCAATGAACTTTTAACCATGAGAATAATAAAATTATCGCGAGAAATTGGGTTGGTCGCAATGGAATGGAATATGCTGACGAATTTGGGATATGTTCTTCAGAGAAAGTAAAATACACCCGCAATTAATTTAATTGAAAGAGGGAAATAATTCGGGAGCGACTCGTGACTCGTGAGGAGGAGGGGGAGCATACAGCATTTACGTTGGGAAGAAATTACAGCCTGAGTCACGGGGTTCGTATATCTTCTGAGGCACAGGTAATATTGTGCAAGGAATCACCGCACACGTGGCTGGTAAATGGTTACGGGTCCGGCGCCGTCCGATTATAACGAAAATTAATCAAGGGGTGGCCGGCTCCTGATGTGGACTACGGTCAGCAGAGCTGACTGGGCAACACTTTTGGCCATGTATAAGTATAACTCGCGTGGCAGGAATAGAGGGCTAAAGGAGGGCGTTGGTCAACCTAACACAATTATGGGAGATGCAGAGGATAAAGTCCCAAAGAGAAAGCTCCGTGTGACGTGGCTGGATGGATGGCCTATAGGAAAAATAAAAGGAAAGAGGAGAGCTGCAGCGCGTTTCAAGAGTTTCAGATGACGTTGTCGAGTGGTACTCAGTAGATGTTGCGTTGGGCGGTAGATTATTTTAGATAATTTTTTTTTTTGTAAAGAATAATGTAGGAGTATTTTTTTTTTAAGGATTAATATTATAGATATTATCAGTGTATGCACAATCACCATTAGATATATGATACATGTATAAAATTTGAATTTGAAATTCAAAATTTATTCATGTGCCATCCATCTAACTGTAATAATATATACGCTGATAGTACATATAGAATTTACTTTTTTTTAATACGATATATGTAAAATAAAAAATAGACAATTAGAAAATGCGTTGACGCTGTAAATAAAAAAAAATATAATCTAACATTAAAAAAAAGGTGCTTGAGTAGGGTTAACGCAATCGCGTCGCCACATATCTAAAGACGTGGAGTTAATTGTTTAAATCGTGAATGGAGATTGTCCCGTGTCGCCGCATATTATTATCCCCTGGTGGAGCTTCTTTTCTCGTATTGGATGTGGATTGGAATATGTCTACGGCCGGTTTGTTGAGAGTTGAGAGTTGAGAGAGAAGGAGTTAGTAAGAAACTTGCCGCGTACGTGGAAATGTGCTGTGAGTTGATGATCATCCGTTAGCAGCCTGGCATTCATACGCAGACCAACGCATTTTAAGCCGGACGTTAAACCTCAATTAGACCAGTTGTCTAATCCTAACCAATGCTAAATTCTTTATTAGCATTTAATGCGAATGGGGTTTGAAGAGACGTATTATTCGAGAAACATATTCCAACAATACAGGCTGGTGGGTTCAAATATCACGGCCCAAGTTTTGGGTGGGCAGGGTATATTGGTATCCATTACGCTGCTTTGTGAGTTTATAACAAAAGAAAGAAAGAAAGAAAGAAAAAAAAAAAAAGACATGTACCATATTCACTAAATTGGCTTATTGGTTAGAGATTATTTGCTAAATTTTTATTTGCTTATATTATCAACACATTTTTTAACTATTTTTTTTATCTAACATACATCATATTCAAAAAATGTTATAGTAATTTTTCACAAAATTATCCCAAATAATCTAATATCCAAACATATACATTTTTTCCCCTAAGTTTAGGATGGGTTCGAGCTTGAAGTTCTTCCCTAGAATGTTGGTCAAAGTTCGAACCCTGCCAACATCATATCATTTCCACCAAGGAGTAGTGATAGGCTGGTACACCACAGGACAGCAATAGAAGGCTCCCTGTTTCCTCCCACCATCCCCTTCTTCGAGATCACTCCTTATAATAAAATAGGATTTCAAAAGAAAGAAAAGACTTGAGTTGTTAAAATAGGAAAAAATGTGTTAAAAGTTGAGTTTTAAAAACTTGAGTTGAGTTGTATGTCACAAGCAGGATAGTGACAATACTTTTGGGACTATTTTTAGTGATAACGTAAAAGATGCCCGCTTCCTTGATTTTAAAATTTTCATATTTGTTTGGCAATGTCCGATTTATTGTGAGTGGACAAAATCCTATATGTCCTTGATTTTTGAAATTCCATATTTGTTTCTATTGCTTACAAATATCTTGCTTTTCAATCTTTTTTTTTTGCAGGTGTACTCTTTTTCTAAGGAAAATCCTATGGCCCTATTTTATAATCCAAGTCAATGGTTTAGATCTTAACGTGTTTAGATGCGTTCGATAATTATAAAAAAAAAATAGAACAGCTAAATTTTCTGGACAAAAGTTGCTCAAAAAAATAAGTGATAAGCTATTTATTTATTAAATCTTCAAATGTATCAAATTTAGTGCTTAACAATTCAATAATTCAGTGAATTCAAACTTGAAACTTCATATTTTAATTTTCAGATTTCAATTTTATCAAACACATCCTAATTAATATACGATTTAATCGACAAAAATAATGCAAAAGATGAGCAACCACCTTAAATTTAGAGATTATATATTTGCGTTTATTGTTTAGAAATTAGGTGGACTCTTCTTCTAATTCGCATTCAGTGGGTATTTATTAGTACATCAAAAATAAATGTAACTTACGTGTGAATGTATACAATTACATTCATTACGACCTTGAATTTAGATTTTTTTTTCCAAAATTACACCCTTGTATTTAGATTTTTTTTTTTCAAATTAACTTCATTTTTGTACAAAAATGATGAGCACCGCAGATCTCTCTGAAGGAATGCCTATTGAACATTTGTTAGTGAAACCCTGCACATAATATTTTAACATATATAACTGTCATAATATCCAACATTAAAAGGCACCAAACAACATCATTCTTTTCTAATTTGCTTAATAAATGTAATTATGAGATAGAGTTATCTTCTTCCTTTTCAATTTGGAATACATTTTGAATTCCTATGGGTTTGCAAGTTTAGAGTTCTATTTTTCTTTTTTTTTCTACAAATTTTTAATGTGTGTAGCGACTAGAGCATACTATATTGGATAAAATTGTTGGCGAGTAGAATTCTATGTTAACCAATCTAGTCATAATAAAATGTTGTCGTTTCTTATCAAACAACAAGAAAAAAAAATAAAAAATATATATATAAGTAGAATTTCAAGCGAGTCATAAATGAGTAATTGGGTATATCATAATCCTTTATTAAATGGGTATAAACAAGTTGACTCAATCATCCGCATTACATTGCCCAATTATGACCCCTCAAAATCCATCAAAGTCATCCATTTTAACATCTCTATTGCAGACACATGGAACTACTATGTGTGGCTCTTTCTTGTTCATCGCCTCTAATTTACTAGGAATTTGATATTCAATTGACATTCTCAGTAAATCACCTAGTATTCCGCCTAAGATAAGAAAAGAAAAAAAAAAAAGAAGACTGCAAATGCTATGCATTCAATCATTGAGGCATAGGGTTCTGCATTAACAACTTGTATGATCAGAATTTGGATAATTTCAACGTATTTTAGGGAAGAGTGAAACTCGAAGAATCGAGTTCCTAGGCCAGAAAATGTCAATGAGAAGAATTTCAGCCTTTCCCTTTGTTGAGCAGTAATAATTTAAGAGGATTGGATGCTTTTCTTTGATCCGTCAAAATCAAAGTTGTGCAACTTTTGCGAATCGGCCAAGTTGTTCAAATCATGGAAATACTAGTCTATTTGAAATGGCCGCCTTCCAAAGAGAGGAGAAAAATCGACAAAACACTTCTGTTGACTTCATCCCACAAGATAATCGCAAGTGCATTCATCATTCAGTTTCTTTTCCTGTACTTTGTGAATTTAAGATGACTTTGTCCATACTTCATAGCCGTAAGAATGCGCCCCCTTGTAGTTGTTGTCAGCTTAGTTAGAGGTGATGTCACGCACAGCCAACTTACTTCTTGAACGACATTACCCCCTTTATTTAGTCTTTTCAACAATTAAAACTCCATTAAAGAAAAAATGCTGCTATTAAATCACCCCTTTCATCTCTTGAAAATGACATCTGGGTCCGGTCAATCGAAGGAAAGCGGGGATTTTCTGATCAGAATCTACTATGGGTCAACACGCTAAAGGCGTAAATCAGCACAAACCCGACAAAAGGAAAAGGGAAAGAAGAAGCACTGGTAGGTTATGAATGTATACAAGAAAGAGACGGCGGATAACAAAATATGATGAGGATCACAGAAAGAGAATTTGAGCGATTATCAGGCGAAAAGAGAAGTAAAGAAGATTTGAGTGATCAGGATGAGATTGAATGACAGCAGTCAATTCTTTTTCCCATCCACTGGATTATCAGTGGATGGTTGACAGTAGTACATGAGATGCCGCACTTGAGCAGTCTGCAGCGTTTATAGTTCGGTAGATTATGATCAGGGAGCTTTGAAAGGCGTCGCGTGGCCACCACCTGAAAAATCTTGCCATTTTCGAGCAGAGCTGTTAAAACCGCGGTCTTTGCCATTTTCGAAGGTTAACTCTTCCAGAAGATCTCAGCATCACACAAACTATAGGGTCAAGCGAAGTAGGAAAATATGGATCATGAGCAAGTTTTTATACAACGGATAAGCCGGATTCAGCATATGCCCTTTCTTTTTCAAGATGATAAATATATATAAAGCCCACATCGTGAGGTTGCTGATCTGCTCGTAACCAACAGCATCTGAGATCATGGAACAAGTGAATCGAATTTGAAATCTCTAAAGAACCTTAGCCTGCTAGTGTCCATACAACAGCAATCTAGCGAGTTACAAGGTTATCCATCAACCGGACGGCAAATGTTCCTAGAAGAGAATGAATTCTTCGAAATAATAACTGAATTCTAAAATGTCTCCAAACAAGAGGCTCTACATAATTATGCCTAGAGCAGTCATTTCTCTTGTCAGTCACACTGATTATTCCATAAAAAAAGAATACCATTCTGCTTTGACGGAAGCAATTCACAATATTAAAATTTAATACTGCTATAGCTACAACCTTGCAAGCAATCATGTCAGACCAGACGAGCACGAGTACGCAGAAGACGTTCCTATTCTTGTCTTGGCATCTGCTCAACATCAATGCATTCTGAATCCTACTAATCCACAGCAAATGCAGAGATGAGCACTTGGACATAAGAACACCACCTCAGATACGAACCAGGTTTAAATCCCACGCTACCATACCCGTAAGTTGGAGTTGGAGAAGCATCACATGATTAAGCAGTTAGCACTTGCATGGTATTGAACAAGTCATCATACACCTTTCCAACCAAAAATGGATGTATGAGCAACCCATTCTATCAGCAATAATTGTTTGTGCTGCCAGCTATCTGACAGTAATTCTTTGATTTGTTCGACCTGTTATGATGCGTTTCCAAGAGTCACGATCCATGAATTACTTTATCAGAGTAAAAACAAATCATCCAGAAACTATATGCATCGCAAGCACAATGACTTGATCAATCTGTATTCAAAACTTGTGCCAATCTATTACGATTGGTAATTGCCACATGAATCACATGAAAAATGCTCGACGGCTGGAAATAGATAAACTCAATGCTCCATTAAAGTCGTAACATTCAGACCATCTATTTGGTTTTCCTCCATGTCAAACTAGAAAATCACTAGCAAATAGAAGGTTACATATGATTTCCTCACTTGAAACGTCTTGGGGACAGCTTCTGCCCTGCAGGATTTTCTTCTCCGTCCTATAGGTGTCCAACTTGTGAACTTGGCCACTTTTTTCAAGGCCGGTTATGAGCACACGGTATGTCCCCAGTGCAACATTAATTTGCAGCCTTTTCATGGTTTCAAAGGCTTTCAGCCCCTTGTCAACATCACCAGCGGAGAAGTAGGCAGCAATTAGTGCAGTATATGTAGTAGTACTTCTTTGTTCATCAGGCAATAAACCAAATACTTTTACAGCACAACCAAGCTCTCTGGCGCAGCCAAGACGATATATAACCAGAGCACTTAGGTGAGTACCAAGAGATACTCCTGTTCTAGCCATTACATAAACAACATCCACAACATTTGCAAGGGAATTTGTTCTAATAAGTAAACCTAATAAAACTAGATACGCAGTTCTTTCAACTTCTATGTCTAGTTCTACACTGTATTCTAATGCTGTCAAAGCTCCAACCTGTCTGCAATGAGAGCAATTTACTTCTATAATCAAGGAAATTACTCCAGAGTCCAATTTGATACTCTTGCCTCTCAAGTCAGCTAGCAAGCAGTCAATAGCTACAAGATTTTGCTTGCTTGATAAATGCAAAACAAGTGCTCTATCCAGAGAAGATATATTGTCCCCAGTGAAACCTACAAATTTATTGTTCTCTACATTTTCAATGTTTTCCACAGATAAATGGTTATTAACTTGTTTAAGGAGTATATCATTCTCTCCAGCAGCCATCAAAGTTTCAAGAGCTTCATGATAAACACCAATACGAAGGACAAGAGCCTTTTCTCTCATGTACTGGAGGATTTGCTGCATTGTCTCTATGTTTTTTGCACTGCAACATTTTCCAACCAAAATATTGCAAGTAGCTTTGTCAGGTGGTACCCCTGCTTCCTGCATGTTGCTAAAGATCTCCATAACTTCTTTGAATCTCCCTGAAGTCAATTAAGAAAACTTTACAGCATGAATATAAAGTCCATCCACAGCCCAGTATAGTTAGCAAATCTACAGCATTATTGTACAGTCAATTGTAGCTAAGATGAAGGGAAATGAGCATTATGTGTTTTGATGTTCAGTGAAATAAATGAAAACTAAGAATAAGTAGCTTTATTTAAAAAACACGGAAATACAGTAGGAAAGGTAAAAACAAAATTAAATTCATGGCAAAGGGTCATATAAGCTAACCATTCCTAATGAAAGGAACGGGCTAATATTCAGCTCACTGCACTAGGTTCCCAGAATGTCACTCTAACAATGGCTAGTTGTTAAGTACGGTCATTCTAATGGAAATTAAACTACAATCTCTAAAGCTAAGCCCCAAAGAAAAGCTAAGGCAAAACTATCAAAAAAAGTAAAATGCAGTTCCCAGACTTAAATGTAATGTAACAGTACAGGAACCCATATGTAAAATTCACCAATCTGAGCACGACAATAAGGAGTAAAACAGAATTAAAAACGAAGAAATAAGAAAAGTGGTACAAAAACACAAATACAGCAAAAACAAAAAGTTTGAAAGACGTTCAGAAGTTTAACTCCCACCAGCATTGGCAAGATGTTCCATCAGAACCGTATATGTGTGACAGTTGGGCTTACAACCAGCTTGAAGCATCTCCTTGTATACCTCGACGCCTTCCTTAGCTCTGTTGTGATCAAACAAGATCTTCATATATGCAGTGTAGGACACCACTGTTGGATGACATCCTTTTGCTCTCATCTCCAGCCACAAGTTAATTGCCCCATCGACGTCCCCATCATTAGATAGCCAATGTAAAAGAGAGGTATAAGTAACTACATCAATCTTTATTCCCTTTTCCTGCATTTGCTGAAATACATACTTCATTGATGATATCCTCCCGGCTTCCCCGAAAATGTCCAGCATAGTCGTATAAGTAAAACGATCGTGCTTAAACCCTTTTAGCCCGGCGGCCCAATTGAAAAGCAACCAAGTCTTCTCCATTGGCGGATGGGTCTTGAGAACTTGATTAACTGTGAAAGAATCCCACTTTATAGCAAGCCCCTCTAGCTGGTTTTTAGCCGAATCCCATGTTGAATACCGCAAAATATTGGATATTTTGGTGATGGTGTCCCTCATATATGTTTTAGGCTCTGCATCTCGTTTATTAATTAATCTGGAAGATTTCTTCGTCTTTGGGGAGTTTTGTCGAACAGGTTCCGGGTGTTGGTGTTTTGGATAGGAATACATACATTCGGTGGTAATCTTGCAATACCCACCATTAGGCCTATCAAGGCGTACAACGACGAAGCACTGGAACTTTCTAAGAAACTTACTGCTGCCATGTGAAGTAAACATAGATCAAATTTTTCATTGGAAAATATGACACAGCTAGGCAGCAGCTGCAGGATCAACTACTGTGTGTGTTGCTACGTAAGATCTTTTCCACCAAGAAGAAAGTTCGTTGGAAAATAAAAGATTAAGCAATGGCGGTGCCAAATTTTAGCTTGCTTCTTCTTTTTTCTCCTTTTTGGTTTTCTTCGGATTTCTCACATATTATGGAGTTCTGTGCATGCTCACATTTATCTCAACTGAAGCTACTTCAATTCTTTATTTGACCCCTCGACTAATTAAATGTAGTGGACCTGTACAATCATTAAGCCTGTGCAAGCCCACACTCCTCCAAGTCCGGAGCTAACGAAGGCACAAGTATACGAGGGTGAAATACAGAAAAGTCTCGTGTATTAAGCTAACCTACGGAAGAGGTTTATGTACTTTTAAATCATATATTTTGGAACCTCCTGGTTTGAATTAATATAAACAATGATAAAAATCGTCAAAAGTAACGAAAGCAAATAAAATGACGCAATTATTTTAATATATTCTTATACTATATAAGATTGAATTTTAGTCAAAAAATAGGTTGAATTTCAACCGCATAGGTGGGGGTTTTTTGGGAATGTGAAATGTTGTGTATTAGTATAAAATCTTTAAATACAAGTTAAGGAAGCATGTATTTGGATATGTTTACTGAAATGACCATATTTTAATACATTTAAAGTTGTTATTGATGAGCCATCTGGGTATTGATGGAATGTGTAATTAGTGTGCAACTATTTTTACATTTTGTACAACCTATATATACTTGTATGTTGGTGTAATTACCGGAATATTTCTTAACTACCAATAATTCCCCTTTTCAACCACAGATAACCGTTTGAGATGTTGCTTTGTCTGAAACGTTTGAATGGCAATCAGATTTAGAAAATGAGCCAACGATTTCTCTATCAATAGTAGGAACATATTTATCTATCATTTATAATCTGCATTTATAAGGCACAAACATTTGTCAGTTTACACCCTTTCAGTTTCAGGAGTTAAGTTTTCCTTTTTTGTCTTTATCTACAACGATTTGTCTCATTGTTTTCTTTTCCATCCGAATTCAAATTTGAAATTAACTATTATTTCGTCATTAATTACACCCAATTCAATTGTCAAACCGTTGGTATGTTAATGCCTAAACGGTTAATTATCAGTTTCTCCCTATTCATATTTCAGGATTGGGATAATTCTACCCGACTTCATACTAATCAGCTCAGAATGTTCTTCAATCCCAACTACTCCTGGTGGTTTAGCGTGAGGTTAGATTTCACTCTCCCAATTTTTCAGTTCCTCATTTAATTTTGCCAGTGTGTTCTTAGTACCTACAATTAGCGACTCTTATCGCGTTGCCTAGCTGCAAAATAACATTTTTCGTGTTGCCTAACCCCAATTGATCTGGATTAGTTATAATCTTATAAGTTTGGAGCAACAACAAGAAAGAGCTCTCGATGGGGATTCTGAAATAAGGTTAGCTTTCTGTATTGCTCTGCTTTTCTGCATTATCAACGACCTTCAATTTGACACAATTTTACTGTAACGCTATGTGAATTGATTGATTATATTGTTTATGTTTTCATACTAAATTTTATTTCTTCTCATAATGTACTATTATTTGTTCAACAAAAAAATCTCTTTCTCCACAAGTATTAAACACCCGCGCGATGCGCGGGCACTCCTCCTAGTATATATAAGTAAAAAAACCTTCTAACAACCACTTTAGTTACGCAAATCTACAAAAAAAAACACCCTTTGTAATTAAGTCAATTAGCCAAAAAAGCCTCCTATAGTTACCAATTGCTATCACTAATCTTCGCTTTCAGCTACCATCCTCCTTTCCATCATTTTATCTCGTTCCTTCTCTTTCTTTCTCACTTTTCCCCATCTCTTCCTCAACGGCGAAGTCAAGACCTTAAAGTTAAATGGGTCAATTTTCAATATCACATCAAATATAATTTTAGTAAATTTACAATCAAAAAGCACTTATATTAAGCATATTTTTCTATTATTTCAATTATACTTTGACATCTAAATTATGTTATAATATAGTGGTAGTTTGGTAACGTCAAAAGAGATTGTTTTTTTTTTTAATTTATGTCAATAATTAACCTTAATTAAATCTAACACTTTTATGAAGCATAAGAATTAAGAATTCTTAATTTATTAAGGGAGGCCAATGTAAATAAGAAAGACATGTTAAAAATTTTTAAGTGGACAATATATATGAGAAAGAGAATTTCAAAAATATTGAGAAGTAAAGTTGATAAGCATAAAAATTTCAAATATTTTAGGAGGGACAAATAAAGAAGTAACCATCACATTTACAAATTAGTTCAAATTACAAGATACCAATATGTAGTTTTAAAATTATAGGGGATTTTTTTTTGTATGTTCGCTTAAGCACAAGGGCTTTTCTGACATTTTACCTTTAAAGGATATAATAAATTTATCAACTAAAATTTTACTTGTTTCCAATACAAATACTCGCGAGAAAGGCGCGTGTATCTCAAACTCATTCATTTAGACGTTTTTCATTACATTTTCAAATTAGTTTAAGTTACGAGATACCTAGAGGAGGTATTTTTGTAAGTTTGTTTAACCACATGGACCTTTTCGTGCATTTTACCCAATTTATAATTATCATCAAGAATGATAATCTGATGTCAGAATTTTGTTTGCTAAATGTACGAGCGGGTTATAATTTGCTTATTTTGCTTGATTAACGAACCCTAATCTGTTCTGCTTAAGTCATTCATTTTTTTTTTCCTCCTTTGGTGATGCTCTTACTTTGCAAGCCACGGTTGCATCAGTCATGTCTTGCAATTGGATTTGTTGTAAGCATCCCCTTTGTGTTAAATTTGGGAAAATTATAGTAAACAACATTATCATATACTCCCTCCATACTAAATTATTGGTCGCATTTTTTACTTCTAACTTATTAATAGTGGCGTGATTGTAGTGTTAATAAATTTATTTTCAAGATTGCCCTCTAAAATTCAAAATTCAAATTTTAATTTAGGATAAAATATAAATAAGATAGGGATAAATTTTGATAAATACAAATATTTTGAAATATCTCAAAATAAAAAAAAATAACAATTTTAAGGGAGAGAAGAAGTATTACACCACTGTATATAGATAGCGTCACGGTCCATTATCAACATTTCTCCCGGCTCATTCCAGCTCTGCACATTGCATTATAAGAGAAACAATTATGGCCTTTGTAGCAAATGAATATTGGACGCTATCTGTCATGCTTACATTCAGGTCAACCCAATTTCCAAGACTTAAACCCGATCCATATTTTGTCACACCACTTGGCGATCAGGCCTGCCCAAGTTTCGGCCCTCTTTTATATTTCTATTTGAGAGTATTCAGCCCCTCAACAACGCTTTTAAAGTTGAAACAACATTAGCTCAGTTTCTCGTTCGCTTGCTTCTCTAGGGAATTGGTGTAGTGCGGATTGTCTCTTTTTTTTTTTTTCCCGACAACGATAGATGTTGTATAACCTACTCTAGCCTAATCCAGGGGAATGGGCAAGGGGATGGTTAACTAAAACCAGCCACGTATTGTGGCCAAATTGTGGAAGGCAGGAGTAGATCCCCTAACCTCCAGCATCACCAATAGTGCGGATTGTCTCGCTGAGGAAATTGTTCGTACGCAAGTCGATCAAAGGTTTATCCAAGAGGCCCTTGAGGGAATCATACAAATGTTAGAATATTTATATGACCTACATAATCACATATAACATTATTAAAATAATCCCTCAATTAACAAGTTGAACTAGTTAAATCGTGAACCGAAACTCATCCAATTCACTCAGCGATTCAGGTTTAGTTCCTTTCTCCACCCCAACTAACGTTTGTTAGTTTATCTACGACTTAGTACAAACATAGAGACGGAGAGAGATGATGAAGTAATGGCTGAGTACTTGAGGTATGCCCTAAATTTATTACCTATGCTCACAACAACTACTTGGTGCTGACGTTTGTGGGGGTGGCTAGCCCCTCTTTATAGCTTGTTAGGAGGCATTAGCCTCTCCCTGCTAACCAAAAAAGGGGAAAAAAAAATAAAGAACTGGATGCTGCGTTAATTTGAAAAGTTTCGAGAGATGAGCACATGATCCGAGATATGAAGAAACAAACCGGAGTTGCAGTTCCAAAGACAAGATGCCGGTTGTGATTTAGCTCAACCAGCCAGCAGTTAATTACCTACACTGACGCCGGAGACTTCTTATTTGGTTGGTCCTTACAAGACATACGGGTTTTAGACAAGAACCTTTTTCACATCATTGACCAAAATGGCATCGACACCACCACAATAGGTAAAACTTAAAAAGTCGCATCCTTCAATTTTGTTTTGCAATGGAATTGTAGTAGCATTCTCAGAGTGGGAAAAAATCATGCTCACTTCTTTCTTTACATGTTTCATCAACTTAGAAATCTGATGCTCACAAAAACCATATCCAAAGATCTCAATCCTGGAACTTCACTATCTGAGCCACCAACAAAATATTCATTTTTCATGCTCTCACATGCCTCAAGAGAGTGAGCATTTTCAATTGGAGCCTTGATGTTTATATGGATGGCTGTGATACTTTTGTTCCTGAACGCTAAACTACCATATAAGGTACCCTCAAATGTGGTAATTGATGATGGTCTACCATACCAGGAGGAGGAAAACACATGTATTTCTTTCTCAGTCACACACAGTCAAATGGATCTAAACTCCTTTAGTTGTCAAATGGAGTCAAATAGATCTAAACTGCACAATCTTTTTTTGTTTCTATTTTCCCAAACAAAAGCTACAACGTTCAGGCTCACCATAATGCATTTGGTTTCAACTGAACCAGAAAAATGGAAATATGGGCTTATTGCTCATTTCTTTTGCGGTTCAAAACAGTGGAGAACTTCTTTCCAAAATACAAAACTAAGACCTTACTTGATAATCCAGTTCAGTACTTAAACTTAATGGGTTTATATCTTAATGTATTTAGACAGTTTGATAATAAAAAATTAAACATCTGAATTAATTAAGTGACACTGAATTTTCTAGACAAAACTTGCTCCCAAAATTAAATGATAAACTATTCACTTATCATTGAACGCGATATGCACTCAAATGTATTAGACTTAATAGATTCAGACTTAGAGATTTCATACTTCAGTTTTATCAACCGCGCCCTAAGTGGGAGTTCCTTAGAAATTAGCAAAGCAGACAACCAAACCTTTCTCAGAAACAAGCCTGTATAAGACATCCTTTATCCTGAGACTATATGGTCACCAAA